GCCAACATGGTCGACGCACTGGTTCCAGATTGATGTGGTGGTGCCGGAGAAGTGGCAGAGCAAAAAACGAGTGGTGCTACGCGTCGATGCTGAATGTGAGGCAACGCTATGGTCAGCCGATGGCCAGGTGATTCAGGGTATGTTTTTTTTCCCCCTTTTCATGGAATTGCTCGGTCCTGATTGTGCAGATGTTGGAAAAACTCGAGTAACTACTATTTTATAATAGCTGATTGGGGGATGTAGGACGGAGATGGGGAAAATTCAGCCAGTTTCATGTTTAAAAAATTCCCAAATTGTTCGAGTTGCAAGGAAAGTATAGGAAATTAAGGCACCAGGGAGCGCATAGTTTCCTGGAACTCTTTATCGACTAAGCTAGATTCCGAAGCAATTACAGCATAAATTTTCATTAATAAAACTGATCGATCAGAAGCCAGAAAAGCCGGAGAGATGAAATATGGTGATGTTTTTCGTCCAGATGCAACACAAACAATTCACATGCAATCCCTAAACACAGTGGATAAGGATCTTGCTGTAAACGGGGGCTGGGATGCATAAAGGAGAATCATGTCACTCGGTTGTCAAATACGAAAAGTTATTTGATGGTGTGGTACCAAATGCTATGCGTCTAGCCCATGTAGATGAAGAGCTTGATTGAGGAACTCCTAAAAATTATTAAGGAAACCGGTATGGGCTGTTGAATAGAAATAATAGAAATATTTTGATGTTGCAAGAAGAAAAAGCTCGTGATGTTAAGAAATTAATAAAACTTTCCCTTCTCTTTCACTTATCCTTCTTGCAAATTAGTTACATGTCTTTTCAATACATGGCGGGTAAGAGGCTGTACTGACGATTCCCACTCCTACCCGCATGCATTGTTCGGTCTGTGTATACAGCTTCACGATGAGTGTCTTCTTATACATGACACCTAATTCCAATCTTTTTACTCCACTATTAAAATGTATTCTAAAATATTATAATGGTAAGAAATGTAACTCTTTTTTTCTGCTGCAGTCCGTGTACTGTCGAAAGGGGCGTAAGGCGGGATACCCTTCCAAGCTTTTCATAATTTGCCTTGAGGCAGCGTTTGAATTGGAAAGATGATCTGGACATCAATAGTTTACAGCTCCAGGTTACTGCATCGATTATTTTAGTATTTTTTGATTTCCATTAGTTATGTTTATTTATGTACAAAGGAATGATGCTGAACATTTATTTTTACTAGTCTTTGAAGTGGCACGCAGTATTCTGAAATTGCCGCAAATTTATTTTCTTGTTTTGTCAACGCATTCAATTTTCAGTCTTTTGGCTTTACCCATTTGTATTTTGTAGGTTTATCGCCGGATTTTGGACGTACTGATTTCGAGCTATATGGTTCATTATCGATACCGCTGAAGTTTTACGTCGAAGCATCCTGTAGCGATCGGGGTGGTGATGGCGAGGGTTACGGAATACGGCCGGCGAAGATGGATAAGCAGTTTCAGGTGAAGCGTTTTCATTCGCAGCAAACTGTTTATTAAAGTAGCTAAAGATCAGCAAATTTTTAATTTTCTATTCAAATTAAGGTAAATTTTGACAATGCTTCTTCAAACAAACAGTTTGCGGGGGAAATCTCAGATCAAAAACCTTTTTTTATTTTCGAGTCAAATTGAGGTAATTTTTGATGAGGCACTTTAAGGCAAACAGTTTGTGAAGGAAAATCTTACCAAGATTACAGCAAGTTCCTCCGTACCTAGCATCTGCTTTTTTTCTGTGCCGCACATTTTTATGTACCTTTTTATGCGTTTTTTGCAGCTATGCAATGCAAAAACGCATATCGACGAGGGGTTGTCTGTGTGTGCGTCTGTCCCGATTTTTCATCTCAAAAACCTATAAAAGCTGTAGGGCTGAAACTTTGGGAACTTAATCTACATGCACGTACGGGCCCCAGTCCCCAAAATGGGCGCCATTACTCGCGTGGTACCCGCGCACGGGCCCGCCAAAGTTTTTTACGCGTAAGTTCATAACTCGGGAATCTGAGAAACTAGAAAGCTGAAATCGTAGGGGGATGTTCGTCGCCCAAGTGGGGATTAATGAGTTCAAAACCAGCCCACGGGTAAGCATAGTACCCGTGTACGGGCCCGCCAAATTTTTTTTGGGGATGTGTTCATAACTCGAGGATCTGAGACGCTAGAAAGCTGAAATCTTAGGGGGATGTTCCCCGTCCAGGCGGGTATTAACGAGCGCAAACCTTGCCCGCGGGTAAGTGTGGTACCTACGTACAGGCCCGTGAAGGTTTCTTTCGCATAAGTTGCTAACTCGGGAACGTGAGAAGCTAGAAGACTGGAATTTTGAAGAGATTTTTCCTGACAGTCCTGGCGGTCAGTCTGAAATTCTTTTAGTCAGAAGCATCTGTCGGAAAATCCAGTGCCGTTAGCGACAAAAATTTGTGGGAAGCTGTGCAAAAAGCGCATCTTCGCACGGGCAGCCCGTGCGTTGGCCAGTTATTTATTTTGGAAGACGATATAAGTGGAGGTTTTGTTTAGCGATTACTGCTAGTTGTTACATCGTATTCACGGCCTATCAAAAAAACGAACAGACGGCTTTCCTGTTGCAGCTGAAACGTTGTGAAATCGCGGAATACAACCATTTAATACACGAACTGATT